CAATATTGGTGGCAGGAAGGAGGAGTAAGTATAAGCAGAGAGGGAAGTAGTTACAGGCTCAACTGGTAAAGTCAAAACATTTGGACTCCGTACCTGGTCAGGCTGGGAGTCGTTGCGGGGGTGCTGGAAGGTGAGCAGGTGCAGTCCCGGGACATAGTTCTCGGTGCGACAGGAGTGGAGGGAGGTTAGGAAAAGGGTACGCTCCCCCCACCAGCCGTACGCCCCTGAGATCTGGTCCACACGGCACGCACTTCGCTCTGTGAGACCGAGAGGGAAAGGTCAGCACATGCACAAAAAAAACCCCTAAAATACCCCCACACATCGGGCATCTTAAATCTCATATTACAGCAGCTTTCTACTGTGCACCACTGTACTGAAATGAATGTAATTGGTGAGTCTTGTTTGACGTGTGTTCTGAAGGAGTAAAATGACCTCACTGCACCAGAAGTATGTGACTAGACAGGCGAGTCAAACTGTGGTTTGAGGAACCTGTCCAGTCTCAGCTGGGTATAGCCAAGTCACTGTACTTCACCTCTGAAACACACCAAACACGAGTCAATTACGTCCCTCCCATGTCAACTCCCAACATCATTTTCCAGTCTTGACCCTTTTCATCTGCCCTCATTCCTCCCTCCCTGGGACTCACCTGACACTGGTAGGCAAGACTCATTCTGAACACACCAGCCAAATTCACCAGGGGCACGGGCCAGAGAAGCTGGAGTGCCACTGAACACCAGACAGGACTGGCAGTCAGACAGGAAGCGAGCAAGGCCCAAGCAACCAGTACTTCCACACTGCGACCAGAAAACATAATTTGCACTTTAGCTATACCTAAACAAACAGTCTGAAAAGGAAAGGATTAGATTTCTGAAAATGTAGAAATGGATCCCCCCCCCCAAAAAAACCACAGGCATTGTTACAATTTAACAAAAAGTCTGAGAGAAGCGTTACCGGGTTAGTGGGCTGGTACTCTCGACAGCGGCCTTCACACCAGCTGCACTCTGGGTTCTTCAGGCACATATTTTCATCTACTGCCTCAGCACAAACAGCATCCTGATGATGAAACAAACAAACACAACAATTTCA